CATAGAAATAAGCAAAATTACTACAAATTAATCACAGAAGACAAATAAAGATAGTCTTATTAACATGTGTATAAATGAAATACACTTGGTAGCATTTATAGTGGATGTTAAAAAAAAAAGTAATGTTACAAATGATGGAAAAGATTAAAATACATCAGAGATGAAGCAAAACAATTCCATATTTGTAAAAACATGTAGTCTTTCCTGTTACTCATGCAATGGAATGGAATAATATTTACTGGCTCCATTACGGTTGACCCAGTACAAACAGTCGGCACATAAGGAATGTTCCTAACCATAAAGGACCAAATCGTAAATTTGGATCAATAAATGACTGCAGGGCACGAAGTGTTTGACTTGGTTAATCATTTATTGAAGGGCAATAATGTAGTACTCTGAACTATAACCTCTTCGCATCAGTGGTTTGTTTAGGTTGTTGCTTTTGTGTGTGTGTGTGTGTGTGTGTTCGCGACTTTACATTCAAACAAGTGTAGCATTCAAAGATATAAGTGGACGAGACTGGCTTCCCCAAATTGGCATGAAACGTGCAGAGCAGTGTAAATTGGTTGAACAAAGAATTCACTGTTATATTCTTGTCAAGGTTATGTGGCAGGACAAAAAACTGCTTCACACTCCTCTCAAGCAAGACGAAGGCGGTGTTTTGCAATGCTCGAACTGTGGTGAATTTTTGTAAACTATGTGCATATCATGTTACGAAGCTCCACGTGCTGGAATGCATGTTTAATCACTACCTCAATGTCACGAACTTTTGATCATTTTTATTTTAAGATTACATAATGATAATTGGGCAGCTTTAACATACTGCCATCTAGTGGCGGAATAACAAGCACAACAAAACCTTGAGGCTATCAAATTGGACAAAGTTGTCTCCTCATTCATTACCCAGGGGCGTATTTAGTCATTTGGGAGGCTAAGGGAAAACCAGTCATGGGGGCTGCTACATCCATGTATTATAAATATTTGGAATATTAATGTTGATCATCAACTAAAAGGAGTGAATTTGTGAAAATGGTCCTATTTCCTGAGCTAGACAGAGTCCTAAAAATCCTTCTTGAGGATGATTATCTCACAAGTGAATCATCAACGCTCTTACTTTGATCAATAATGAAAGTATGTTTTTATGATTCTTTGTGATAAAAAAGCGCCACGTGCGTCATCTCCATTTCTTCTGTCCTGCACCTCCTCAGCTCAAACTGACCACAGTGCTATGCTATAGTGTCTGGCTGTTACTGTTATCAATTACGCACATTTAGTTGAAGCCTTTCGTAGATTTGATAAGTACGACTGTTTATTTTCCTCATGCCGTCTCCTCTTCTCCGCTCTACTTCATTTTCCTCACAGTACACCAACTTTGTTTTCCAGCACATGTGCAGCAAGGATGTGGAATAGTTCAATACTTTAGAGGGCGGCAGGGTGGAGCATGTGAATTAAATATACCAAAAAATACTTTAACCACCATACGGGTGGTCCTCACTTCACGGTCCTGGCATACAAACATTTGGAGGTTATGAATGACAGGTGGCGTTAGAACGTGTTGTCGCGTGACAAAAGATCGCATACTCAGTTACCATCACACTGCTTTTTAATTCGTTTTATATTTGTGGCCTAGAGGTGTTTTCCATGCAAACACTTACTGCAATTATGATTTTACAGCTGTGTTAGCATAAATTAGTGATGGACTTCTGCGCATTGTCTTACACTGCCATCGTAAGAACCAACACCTTCATCACTGTCTTTGTGGAAGGGTGCATGTAAATGTATCTTGGGCCACAATGAATCCTGCGCCAGTGACTTAATGTGCCCATTGTAACTAACTTATTGATGTAACAATTTAGCTTGGGGAATGGTGTCTGAAATTGTTTCAAAACAAAATGTTTATTCTGGCAACTGTGATGTCTTAACTTCCTGCAGAGCTTTTTTTTTTTTTTTTAAAACGAAACATGATGTCGTCAATAACATGCAGATTTTTGCTTTTTGTGAGTCAGCCCGGTCCCTTTCTACTGCAAATAGCGGGGTTCAATATACTCAATAAATATATTTAATATTAAATGCCCTCCATAATTATGGTTAAGATATGTGCTTTAGCTTCAAATAAATTTTTTTTCCCCTAAATAATATAGTACTAAAAAAAAAAAAAAATCCAACCTTTAATTCAAGTGCATTTATTCAGTGTGGGTGCGGGGTCTCTCATGAAGAAATAATGATTTTATATCAAATCACGTGTGTCACAATTACTAGCACCCCTGATGTTAAAACTTTGAACAACCCCCCTTTGCCAACAAAACAGCTCGAAATCTTCCCCTATAATCTTTCAGAAGGATTATTTCAGTAGAATACATGAAAGGGGATCTTCAATCAGTCCTCTTTGCGCAATCTCTCTAAATCATCCAGTGACCTCAGTCCATTCCTCTGCACTGCAATTAAAAATTGAATATTAAGGCTTTTAACACATCTTAACAAAGGGTGCCAATAATTATGGAGGACATTATATTTTACACATTTTTATAATGCGACTTTCTCTCTAAATGACATTGTGACAGTTTTTCGAATAATGCCTATTCTCATTCCTTAACAACTTTATTCACGAATAATGTCGTTGTTTTTCACAAGTCGTGTTCACTACTCCGCATCGACGTTTGAAGCTTGAAGTCGACTGGTTACATGTTTTGGGCATCTTGTTTTCCCAAATGGCCAATTTACAGAGGACTCACGACTTGCCTGGCTGCTGCCGTCATCTAACTATAATGTAGCGAAATCTTCGACCAACAAGGCGACACAGTTTCAGGGAGTATAAAAGCATGATGATTGAATATATTGGTTATAATATTACAAACAAGTTACATCTCATATCTGTTGAAAATCACGGATGTTTGTGTGGACACCCTGTACCTGTAGTTTTCCCCCTCTTGTACTAGTGACTTCTTTTTCAAAGAACACTACAACAATTTAATTGAGACGTTTTGGGATTGATTGTCCTTTTATGCAAAGTGTGGAATTGATGCCATTCAATTTGAGAAACTTACCCGGAGTCGCACACACCCTCTTCTGGACCCTCTCATCATCTTGTCTTTTGACTGAAAACAAATAGAACAAGCCTGTATTTACAAAACAGGGTTCCCATAATCCATGCATAACAATTTCCTGGGGTTGAATTCCAAGCAAAACTGGATTTAAACGGTGATGATGCGTTCAGAAAGAATACCGCAAACAAACACAGATAGTCTGTGAACAATTTGAGGTCTTTATGACTTCCTCATGATTCCTGGCATGACAGAACTCACAGGAGGCACGGTTTCTGTCAAGAAACCACAAGTGAAATGTCTGTATTTCTTGATGGATTTCTGCATGATGCACCACTGCATGCACACATACCAGGAGTAGTATGCATTCAGGTTAAACTTCACAACGAGTTTCGAGAGAATCCCAGCTCGTCAACAAGCATGCGTCTGCGTGATTAATTGTTGATAATAACATTTACGTACCACACACAGGCACTTTGGCATTAATGTAGTACTCAGCTGGGAGCTGGGACAGTTTGCCAATGTGCGGGTTCGTCATCGTCATTGTCATGTTATTTATACTAAACAAACAAGTAACGTTTGCTACCGACTCCTCCCACTGTGTCTCTCATTTTTAGTTCAATTAGTAAACTGAGTACTGTCACACATTAATAAATAGTATTAACAATGAACACAATTCTGTGTCGCTGAAGCCCCAAAACATTGAAAGTCCTTTCCTGCGTCGCCTCGGTGTTAAAGATGTTGTCGATTTGAGCTTTTGCTAACAATGTAGCTAAGCGGAAGTATTGAGGAAATGCTGCCACCGGATTGGCCAATTGGACTTAACTCAGCATCGTAATTGGTCCATGTGACGATCCGTCACCAAGCAGACTCGCCTGTTGTTGCCTGCGACTCCCCAACTCCTGACTAACACCAAAGGCCCTCATCACAACCAGCGTCAACTTCTACCATATAGCCGCCAACCCCCAGCGAGACGTTTCAGGGTCACAAACGGGAGAGAACTTACGTACCGTGTAGTAGGACAGCAGTCCGGCATTGTAGTCTAACACAAACCAGCGGTACTGCCAACCTTTCATGACGTTGGTCCACTTGCTCAGTGGCCCTTCCATGATAGACGCCATCTTTACAACACTGACGACTGGGAGGAGTCGGATATGCTTGGCAGTGACGTCGCGAGAAAGCGTTGTTCCAATCAATAAAGTTAATGAAACGTGGTTTTGCGCTTAGATTAATGTATTTTATATTTTATTGGAACGAGATATACCTGAGTATAATGCGTTTTATTTCAATATAAAAATTTGCCCTCATTAAAAACTATATTATTTAAAGAGTGCTAAGCAACTGACATGAAAAGACCAATAAATGAACAGTGATACAATATTCATCAATATCTTTATTATTTACAATAGACTTAACACTGATAAGCAAAACTTCACAGTAATATATGTGAGCTTTAAATAAAAAAAACACCAAATATATATATTTTGTACATTGAAAAAAAACTGTTAACATTTGTCTTTTTTTTTAATCCATGTGTAGGTTCACGTATTCCATTACGGCGTGTCTGACAGTGAACGTTGGCTTTCATTGCACTTGAAACACTTTGGTATAATGATGAGCTGTAGCACACTTTCCAATGCAGCTAGTAAAATTATATGTGTGTGTGTGTGTGTGTGTGTAACTAAAAAACATGAGAACAACGAAGGCAAGTGCAGGAAAGAAGATGCAGATGGAGCATAGTGAGGACACTTTGTGGTCAATTCAGCATTGTTTCAGCTATGAGATGAAGAAAAACATGACCTCAAATTATTTTTTGACCCTGTTGCTTCCAATGAATTTCAAGGGTGGTGGCAATTTTATTTCGATCTTTGAACACACTATGTCACAGAGATGCACGAAACAGATAAGAAAATAGATCACCAAGAGAGAAATGACAGACAATAAATTAAGCAGCTTGGGTAAGTCTGAAATGTGTAATTCAACAGAAATTTGGCACATGAATGTTTTTATGAGGCTGTAGATTCTTGAAAGAAATTTGCTCACATAAAAGGCACCAAGAGTCACAGAAAAATGACATTTTGCTTGATATTTGAGACTCACAGTATGTGTAAAGGTATGTGTTATGGACCTACAGTGTTTCAATGCAAATGTTAGACTTTTACATACAACATGTGCCAACGATTTACTGTGTGAGGCCTTATCCAGTGTACATTAAGCTGTGAGCCTAAATGAACAACATGATCTCTGTGTTCGCGTGCATAAATGTACAATTCTTGCAGCTTGTGCTCAATAAAACAGAGCATCTTGGACTACAAATACGGGTCAGTGATTAATTGGGAAAGAATAAATTAACAAAACAGCACCTTAAGCGATGACATGTTCATTCTGAAGAACATGCAATGACTTCAGAACTGAATACGACATTCAGAAAGCAGTTGGATAGGCCTCAGTCTAAGACAGGGGTGGGGAACCTTTGTCTTATTAGGGCCAATTTTATATATATATTTTTTAAACTCTGTAGTTTTGTTTTTAGAACTGCTTAGCAGGCCGGATCAAATGTTCTCACGAGCCGTAGATCCCCCACCCTTGCTGTAAAACATCATCTGTGACTACAACATAAACTGTTTTCTGGATATGAAATAAAAAAAGAACACCCCCCCTGAAAAAAAACTGTGCTTTTAATTTAAACAAAAAAAATAATTTAAAATTCAAGTTCATACATAGACATTCTAGAAATCATTCTTTCGTTAAATCAAATGTACAAATTGCTCATGTGCTGAAGACAGACTGCAGATTAGTCTATAAGAGTTAGTACTGTGTGATTAGTGTGATGAACACTCAGTGTGTTTGAACTGGATTTCATAAATTGCTGACATGTGAGGCACTGAGACCACAGAGGCTACAGGGAGTCCTGCACTGTCAATAACACGCAAGGACACTTCGAAGGAATGCTGTCCGAAGTGGCCTAGTGCGCTACCCTGTGCTCCTCTCGAGGATAAAATGTGGTGCGAAAGGACATCCAAAGATCAACATTGAAATGCTTTTGAGGACGTGCTAGGAGTGAAATTCATTAATGTCAAATGCAAAAAAACATTCAATTTCTTTTGAATATTGTGGGGAAATAGAGTAAAATATTTAACTCCAAAATATTTGTATTTTACATTCCCGACTTAAAAAAAAAAAAACATATTTAATCACTAAAAAAGGCTGTGGCTGATACCACCACAACAACAAACTATGTGGTCTCCCTACCTGGTGGTGAAGTAGGTAAATTACAGTCATGAAATAGATTTGTACTTATAATTTCATGCATATTAAAAGAGATGATATTTATGTCCCATACTGAAATCCCAAGTTCTGTTCTAAAGTAGGGATAGGTAAAATCATTGCTTTACAGTAATAGTCCCTGTGAATTGAAAATATGTCTAAATTTGACACATCACAGAGAAGGGTGTTAACAATTGCAGCTAAATTTGAATGAATCTTAAAAATTGTGAGGGAAAAAAAAAAGCCACTGCCCTCTGCTTTGAAAACTGCGGGCAGTAAGTTAATTGATCCCGTAGTCACTGAAGGAAATTTAGTCAAATGCACATCCCTATTATAAAACACAGTGATCATGTTTTAAATCAAACAAACAAACCTAAAATCTTGGCGCTGTTGCCTGTCTGTTGTAAAATGGCTTTCAAGAATTAGTTATGGTCCCTCAGATGCTAGACATCGTGCAAAATGCTCCTAGAAACACATTGCACCCGACCCATAAGTCACACATTCATGAAACGTTGAGCTCGACAGGGGCAAACGACTGTCTGCTTGTCAGTAAGGCTGAGCACAATCGACAGACTTAACACACAAGCGGAGTGGGCTTCGACTTCAGCGACACACGCTTGACATTCATTTCATGATTATGGCCGGCGCGAGGCAAACATTTCACGTTTCGGACTTGAACCACGTTTGGCTTGGCATCACGGTAGTCCGTATATGTACAGGTCAGACTGAGCCGAAAGGAAGAGTCCACACTGGCATTTTATGAAACAACTGTAAACAATTAAAAAAAAAAAAATTATATTTTGTAGTGATTTCTCTGAGGTACTTTATACATTGTTCTCATATCCAAACGGTTAAAGGAATCTGAAAGAGAATTTTGATGTGGTTGTGACAGTTAGTGTCGGCTACCTCTGGACTACGTCGCTAATCTCTTTAATGCAACTGTGCAGGGTGTCTAGTACGCTGTTCGAGCCCACGCAGCTCAGCCCTCCACCACCCGTGGACGAGGCCCTCAACTCCTGCAGACTGAGCTCTAGCTTCCCCACCGCCTCACGGAAGGCAAACTTGTTCCTCATCTGAGGGATGCAGTCCACATAACCTGAGCAGTAGTCCAGCAGCTGGTGGCCAGCATCCAGCACTTGGCTGCTGGATGGGCTTTCGGAGCTGGTGTGGAGGACACTGCTCAGGCACTCGGCGCATTCCAGCAGGGCCTCGCGGCTGACCCGCTCGGGCGGGACCCTCTCCGACGGCTGTCTGGTTCGCCGTAGTGCCACTTTGGAGCCAGCTGTGGAGTGTGAGGAGGAGGAGGCTGTGCTGGGTGCCCCGTTGGCCATTTTAGTGGACGTTGTGGAGGATGCAGGAGGCACTTGTGGTGGTGGCACTGACGGTCTGATTGTAGTCACTCCTCCTGACAACCGCCCCGACCTGTGGCCTTTTAATGTGTCTCCGTTGACTTCGACCGCTGAGGCTCCTACCTGTTCTTCTCCCTCGCCGCTGTAGGAATGTTGCATGCCACGTAAGGTCGGCGGAGGAGGCGGCGCGCACTTGGGTTTGACGAGCCGCGGCCTGTCCCGGTCGGCCTGGTGCTCGGACAGCAGTTTGAAGCGGTTCCCCTGAGAGTCCAGCCCGACGAGGTGCACGTCGCCGGGGCTGTTCTTCAACGTGGGGGAAATGAGAACCGGAACTTTGTGGTTGTGTGTTTGTGCACCTGCTGCGCACGATGATGCCGCTGAACTAGAAGTCTTAGAGGGGGATGACCAGCTTTGCTGCCTTTCCAATCCTGCCCCGCCGTCTTCTCTCCCCTCCCTCACCCGGGACACGGTGTCCGATTCACCGACTTCCCCCGCCACCACGGGCGCTCTCCCTCCTGTGGCAGTGTTCCGGGGTAGCAGCTTGGCTTTGGGCCTTTCCCTGATCTGCGCAGTGCCCTCATCCATCCTCCTGAGCAGAGGTTCATGGGGACGGGAAGCCCCATTTTCTGGCTGGGAGGTGGTTGAAGCAGTCCTCTCCAGAGGGGTTTTAGCACTGCGGTTCCTGGGTAAAGTCAAAGCAATACGCTCCAGGTCCGGCAACCCGGTTGACATTGAGGAGGTAGAATTGGACCTAGGTAAGGGTTTAGGCCCCTCAACCATGTTTCCACCATCCCCTGAGCAGACTGCCTTTCCTGTCCGCAGCCCGAGGGTCTTTTTGATAAGCCTGGGGGTAAAAAAGCCGGCGAGTCCTCCCCAGCTACTGCCGCTTGTTATCTGTGAAGCAAGTCCTGCGCCAGAGGGTTTCTGTCCAAATGTAGCCCCACAGCAGCGCGACTGAGTCTGGGCGGGTTCGCCTTGGGAATGAGAAGGGGAAGCAGAAAAGCCCCCTAAACTGTCCGACTGCGGGAGTGGAGGCGGGGGGCTGAAATCAGCAGTGGGCTCATATTTCTTGTGCGGCTGTGTTTCCATCTCTCGAAAGGAGCTGCTCCTTTTGGGAGGTGTCGGGAGGTTTTGTTGATGCAGGGAGGACGGAGAGGAGGACGCAGAAGATGATGATGACGACTTCTTCTTGATGAAGGAGCTGAAGAAGCCAGTCTTGCGATCACGCGTGAACGCACCTGTGTCCAGTGCGTCCTCTAAAAGACTCCCAGGAGATTTATCACGGGGCTGCTGTTTTCTGGGGAGTGCTGGGGAACTGCTTGTACGTCCATCGCTTCCTAATAAAGATGTCCAGCCTAAAGAAGAACAAGAGGAAATTATTAGAATACTCAACATAAAAAAATAACTACTTAAGGACAATTTCTGAATTACCACAAACCAGGGTAACCCAAAATGTTTCAGTTTAAGACACATATTTAAATGTTGATACTTCCGAGGGCTGACCAGTTTTCTACAGGATGAGTCCTCATTAGGGTAAGAGGTGATTTGAAGCCTCTCCCTGGTGACTTTGGGCAAAAAGTGGTATAGATGCTGGACTGATTGCCAGCCAACTGCACTGGTATGTGTAGAGACAAACAACTACTTACACTCACAATTTAGTCTTTAACTTAACATGCTTCTTTTTAGTGTGGGAAGAACATGCAAATTCCACATAGAAAGGAGTAGACGTGCAAACCACTAGGCAAAGGAAATGATGTGCCAAATGACCCATATACAAGGTTGACCAAATAAAAATGTACTCTCAGTTTGGGAGCATGCTTAAAACTTTGAGCCTTGCTATTTTCCCAACTTGATCCAAAAGAACTTCAATATGGTATGGAAAGTTGAATCCGCACATGCACGTTCAAACCATTTTACTGGATTTGGACTGAAGTTACAAGATGGCACCAACTCACATGTTATAAATGCCTTACAGGGCTTGTAAAAAGTTTGGAGACACCGCTATGGTATGGGAAGGTGTGCCGAGCACATTTGATTGGTACTGTACAAATACACACATACCCTTCCTATACCGTGTCAAATGTATTATGCAGAATGAAATGTCCAAGATAGTTTTCTTTTGTAGATTTGTAAACTGTACTGCATGCTCACAGAAATAAATGGCATTTAAGAGGAACTTGTTTTTTTTTTTATCATATTAGAAAGATTAATGTGCTTTGATGAACTTGAAGCGGGTCAATGAGAGACTTAGGGTGAAGCACAGAAAGACAACCACACGCTTGTTTGAGTCACAGACAAGCACACAAGACCAACATTTTATTATGTGAAAAAGAAAAAAAAATAAAACACTTGACGGAAAAGAGAAGGAGCATTTGTGAGATTTCTATTCAGTAACAAGGCCTAACTTGATTTGAAAAAGCAGTCATATTACAAGAGAATAAAAAAGAATCATACTCAATAATGAAGTGAGACAATTTGGAGATAAATGTGTCACGTGAAAACTGATTTAACAATTAGAAATATGTATCAGGGGAGTTCTCTAATTGAGGATTAGTGCTAAAATGGTTTGTGGTAATTCTGGAAGTGTATGATTCAGCAAAAGTAAATTGGATTGGGTCACTGTAATTATTCAGAGGACATGCTCAGCTATCCAGAATAATCGCTCTATCTGGTGTCTGTTCCTGTGAAATAGAAGACTTTTATGGCGGGCAGATGCATTCCCTCGCATTTTTCTTTCATGTTAAACTGACCACGTGAGATGTTCTAAAATGTTTCCCTTTGACAAGTTTTGTTTGGGCGGCATAGTGATGAGTAGTTAGCACGTACGCCTCACAGTTGAGAGGTTATAGGTTTGAAACTCTGCTCAGATGTTCATCAGTGGACGTTGCATGTTCTCTCCGTGCTTGCATGGGTTCAATGAAGATTAAATTGCCTATAGATGTGACTGTGAGTGCAAATCGTTGAGCTTATGTGCCCTCTGACTGCTGGTGACCAGTCCAGCGCGAAACAAGTCAGGTGGGATAGGCTGCAGCTCACCCATGACTCTCACGAGGACAAACGCTATATAAAATGGATGGATGGATGGATGTTTTGTGACACATTTGCATGATTACGTTCATGTGACTCGTATTACTTGGAAGTTTGACAGTAGAGCGAATTCTCATCACTAAATAGGTTATTTAATTTTATTTGCACTACACGACACGTGACCTGCCTAAAATACACAGAATTAGGAATGGACAGACACTTGCATCGGAGTCAATCGGTGAGAAAAATGACCGCTCTTCGCCTCAGGCGGCGGGCTTGGCGACGCTGCAGTTGACTCTTGGCATCAAGGTGGCCTGGGACACCTGCGGGCTTGTAATGTGATGCATCCGATCGCTTGACAGCGAGGCACGCGAGTCTAGCTGTACCTGAGGGAACATGCGTGCCCTGGTCTGGCCTCCCGTCGATCCCTCCCTCGATGTTTTCCTTGTTTTCTGTGTGCTTGTGGGTTGTGCGGGATTTGGAGGGCAGCAGGGGCGTGTCGAAGGAATGCAGAGGACCGCCATGACCGGAGGATGCCGTTTTACAGAGCTCCTCCGCGACCTCTGCAAAAAAGAAATAAAAATAAAAAAATGGGTAAGATACACCGCCAACACCGATACAATACAACCTTTGAAGTCAAAGACCCAGAAGTTGTATGACAGAATTTTCTGCAAAAAAGAGCCTTAAAAACACCTGAGATTGAATTTATACTTTAGAAGCCTTCAAAATATCTCTTATATGTTTCCTTATGGTACGCTACCTTCTGAGATGCTGGAGTCATGGAACATTGTCTCAAAGGCTTGGTGGATTTCTGCGAACGATGGCCGGTCAAATGGACTCCACTGCCAGCCTAGCAGAAACAAAAATCATCAACGTGAGTCAGAGTTCAGGTTCAAGTAGTAGTCACAATGGCTTCATCATTATCTGAAGGAAATGTGTTTTAAAAGAAATCTACTTACATGCCCTCATGAGTTCATACACCTTTGGCGGGCATCCCTCTGGCTGTTCCATGCGGTACCCCTTCTCTAGAAGATCATAAACCTGAGACAGATCAATGCCTGGGTACGGAGACATGCCATAGGTGGCAATTTCCCACAGGAGGACCCCAAACGCTGTAAGACAACCACAATGTAGATCATCAGCCATGTGTGAGTTGGAAGATAGAACTGAATAAACTCACGGTACTCACCCCATACATCAGACTTGATGGAGAAGGTGTTGTATGCAAGACTCTCTGGCGCAGTCCACTTGATGGGGAACTTGGCCCCAGCGTGTGCAGTGTAGGTGTCACCAGTCATCAACCTGCTCAGACCGAAGTCTGCCACTTTCACCACATGATTTTCACCCACCAGGCAGTTCCTCGCCGCGAGGTCCCTGATAGAAGAAACATGTGAAACTTGGTAATATTTTATTTGATTTTAAACAGTATTGCACTGAGTGTTTGCTTCTCACCTGTGGATGAAGTTCTTTTTCTCCAAGTACTCCATTGCTGAGGAGATCTGCGTAGCCATGTAGAGCAAAACCACAGCATTCACTTCCTCCTTGTCGCAGTCTCTCAAGTAGTCCAGAAGGTTGCCGTGAGGCATGTACTCCGTCACAATATAAAACGGAGGCTCCAACGTACACACGCCTGCGAGAGAGTCAGCTTTATAATCATTTTTAAGGGAGGGGGAATTCAAATGACAAAAATCGATAAAATACTGACCAAGAAGCTGAACCAGGTTTGGATGTTTAACCTCCTTCATGACAGCAGCCTCTTTTAAAAATTCCTCTACTTCCATAGTGTCCTCCTGTCATTAAAGAAGCGGGAAATAAATATTAATGTGATTATTAGAGGAGTGAATAAAATAAAAATGTTCAGTGTAAATGATTATCATAAAAAAGAACTGCATGAGCAAAGTCAGATAATTTAGGTGTATTACCACACTCTACCGACAGGTGGTGACCTACAACCATATTTCTGCTCAGGTCCCTTCATTGGCAGATAATGATGAAATTGAAATTACAGTTTTGTATTTTTTCTGAGGGGATGTCACACCTTGAGTGTTTTGACAGCGACTGTGAGGTTGTACTTCTTCCACATGCCCACGTACACCTCGCCGTACTGGCCACCTCCGAGCTTGTGCTTCATGGTAATGTCGGTGCGTTCCATCTCCCACTTGTCGTGGATGGGTGACACGCCGTACACGGTGGGCTTGTTGCACTTGGGTGCTGGGTAGTGTAGTGTAGTGACCAGGCCATCGGCTACAGTGGAGTGGTGATGGACCAGCTCGGCCAGGGTGGCGAAGCGGCTCTCAGATGTCACATACACCTAGAAGGGGGAGGAGGAGGAAGGAGAGCGGGAGCCATTAGCAATTAAAACTACATTTCAAGAGAAATGGAACAGTCCTGTAGTGAAACAAACAGGAGTTTTTCATATTTGTTATTTTTTTTAATACCGAACTGCATGTTCATGTTTAAATTTTTGCTATTGCAATGACGGCCTTGTTTTTCATAATAAATAAGAAACCAAATTGTTTAAATGTGTGAACCGTTCACCTTACAAGACTTAATGATGGTGAAAGTTTGACATCTACAAAGGATTCATTCTATTGCCATTAATGGAAAATTAAAATACAAATCTGAGCAATTCAAAATCACTAAACACAAGCTGTTTAATGCTACCTTTCCATCCGAGGAAGTGTTGATCCGGTAGTGGTAGACTCTCCCCTCGTAGCGAAGGGAAATAGAAAGCTGTCCCGGACTGCTCTCGCTTTCTCGGACAAGGAAGCTGCCATTGATGAGGGATGAAAGCAGGTACTCGGCGGCACTTCGCGACACAGGCCCATGGTACCAGCTGTGCTTCTCTAGGCTGTTTACAGGTGTGATGTAGTTGGAAGGGACCCAACCCTGGCCATTCTTGGAGCGAACCTCGCTCCACTCTCCATTTTGGTTATAGCCGAGCACACGCAGTTTCTCGCCTAGGCAACACAGACAAGGAACTGCTCAAACATCTGTGGTTTGCCATGCCAATGAGTGAACAGCTTTGACCAAGGATTGTTGTGTTTCTTGAAGATTGTCAGGTGTGATGAATAATAATAAAGCAAAACTGTGACGAGTTTCTCATCACAACTTTGTGTCTCACCATAAAAAAAAAAATTTTTAAAAAATTTAAAAAAAAAACGAAAAAAATAATTTAAAGTATATAACCATTCAACAACAAAAATCACAAACTCAAAACTTGGCCAGAATTACTTTGGGCCTTACTCCAGAAGAAATTTGAGATGGGAGGAGAACAAACAAATAAATGCAGACATAATGAAAGCGTAATCTCTGAGTAAAGTAATAATGGTGGGAAAAATAGGTCAAAATGACTTTGAATCCACCAGCCTAATCCTATAACTTCCCTTAAAATACTCAAGATGAGAAATCGGGATTAGACAGCCAGTAGACTAAATCTAATTACAAAACAATAAAATAAAAAAATAAAATAAAATAAAGAAAACAACGGTCTCAGAGACTCAACATGGACTCTTGTCATCAGGTAAGAATGTTGGTGAGGATGCTTTGGTGACAACACAAACAAACTGGGCGGTACGGACAGATTATGAGTTCTACTGAACTACATCAAAAGCCGTGCAACAATAATAAGAGCGAAGCTGCCATGCAGGCGCCGGGCAAAAGCAGACATGTCGTGACTTGGTGTCTCGTCTCCGTCTGTCTCTTGATGTCAGAGCGGTACACGTGAGGGAGTGGAAAGGCGCACGATTTTCTCGAAACCAGAGGAGGGAGTGATTCAATAATCCGACATAGAGTTACTGCACGTCTTCACTGGAGATTATTTTACAATCAAATTGTGGTCGGCTGTCGTTATTTAGTGAGCAGAAAATAAATTACGTAAACACTTCAACCTATGTATGAAAATAAGAATCATGGCATTCCGAAGAGCCTGAGTGTAAATCAGTTCAGCGTAATGCCAAATTTCACCATCTTTGGCCTTGGAACATTTGAATTTTATAGTAACACATGATTTTGCCGTTTCATGGTATTGCCTATAAGGTAAAGCAAAATGTGAAAAACACCTCCCCACAGTACATAATGCGGTGCAGCTCATCACCACTGCAAGGATGTCATTTGAGTTCATTGCCATTCTTTTTGAAAGAGGTCCATCCCCTAAGATAGTTCCTCCAATTATTAAACAGAACCTCAGCGTCCGCTGCAGGCCGGATCCACTGTCCAGTGAGTCACAGTGAAAATGACGCATCATTTACACACAGTAAAAGCTAGGCGTCCGGGAAATGGCGGTTGCAGCCAAGAAACAATTAAGATTGTGATGATCAGTGAAAAGAAGCTAAACACATTTGCTGGGAATCTGTTCTTGTACGGGTTACAGGGCCTGCACAAGCAACAATCTAAGGATTTTGTAAAAATACAGCGTAGACCACTGTCACTACTGTACGCACAAAACTGACTGTTAGCCAGTCTGCCAACTGACTGTTAGCCAGTCTGCCATTCTCTATTTTCCTCTGCAGGACTGGAAATAGTGACTGTATCCTTGCCTTTGGAGTGGCTAAGAGGAGATAATGACTGTGAGCAGCTAATTCCTGCTTGTGGTCAACTCCTCCTGGCTCAACGTAACCCACCTGTTGATGTAAAATTCCATATCGTCACAGAAGTAGAGGCATAATGCGGTCTATTCTCCAGGAAAGAATTTTAGATTTTTTTTTGTTGCTCGAAACCAAAATCTTTTCAAAAGTCTTCTCACAAGAGTGGATCTGTCATAGCTTCAAAGTAGGAACCAACTCCGTATTTTGTTACATTTTCCCTTCCCGTAGGTGTGTCAGAGCCAGGTGTCCCAACGATTCTTTTCACCTATAGCTTTATTGACACACAACATTCCGATGGTATAACTGTAAACTGCGCACGAAACTGTTTGATAATCTGCCAATCAGCGGCATGGCCTGAGGCGTATTCGACTCAAGACTTTCTTCCACGTTAGGAAATCACTGTGCCCTTCTGTTGCAACACACCTGCTTCCATGGAAGGTGTGGGAGGCATGTGTTGATACAACACCACATCACGTAGCAACAATCCTTTTTGACGATGCAGACACGAATATATATTCTCTCGGACATGTAATGGCTGAATTTT